TGTGGACCACACCCTCACCATAGTGACCAACAGACAGCTGTGGACCAAGTGCCTCCAGCCAAGTGGAGAGTATTTGCTGGAGCAAGAGTTGAGAATTGGTATAGAAAAAAAACCTACTGATGGGTTTACCTGAACACCATTGGTTTGAACGGACTTTTGTGTAGGATATAACATATAGGGTTATAAAATAATAACAAGTGCGTTTATTGTTAGAGACAGTCAGTGAGACATGCACACGCGCTCTTGGTGCTGATGCAGTGTGGTGGCGGTGGTCTCATAGCAACCCTCCCATCCTGCTTTTTTCCATGTTCTCTTTTACACACACTTCTAAGTCATGTGTTCATGTTTATAAATAATAATAGATTTTTTTCTGAAGTAACATGATTAAAAATCTTAGGAGATACTTTGGTTAAGATACTTTTAATAGGTGTGAAGTCTTCACTCACAGTTACTCCATAAGTATTACAATTGTACATAAAACACATTGGCCTCCATTCGGGTTTTATATTGGAGTATGGAGAAAATTATTAAGCACTTAAGGGTGACGACACACGGGCTGCTTTCTCAGAACTGGAGTTGCCTTTCGCAGACTTTTGTGGTACTGGATCTTCCTCGGAGGACACTGACATCCCACTGAGCTCACTGAGTTCCAGTTGTGCAGGGCTCCAGCCGATAGGACTGGATTCTGGTCCGTGATCATGTGAGGAAAGGAAGTGAGTTGTCCCCCTCAGTCAAGCGTCCAAATAGCCTGGCACCCCAAGAACCTGGACCGGCTCACATCAGATTGAAGAATGAAGTAGGCAGCCTTTTGTAACACCGGCACGCTGTCTGGGATGTGGGATGTTAGTGATCTGCTTAGTGCCTCTAGTGCCTGCCTCTGCCTCGTAGAGGGAGAAGGTTAGAGAGAAACAGACTACAATGTTTCTTTTGGCACAGACTATAGTAAACGACTTTCAAGTGCACACACATTCAGATTAGGGTAATTTAAAGTTTATTTACAAGGGAATGAAACAGACAGATGACTGTATTCCCAGCACTTAGGAAATGAAGGCAGGAGGATTCCAAGGTTTTAATTTCATCCTCGACTGTATAGCGAGTTCAAGGCAAGCCAGGTTTACACAAGACCTTGTCTCAGTGAGGAAGAACGTGTGCATGCATGAGTATTAGAAGTACAACCGTCAAGTGCAGAGACCCCTGGTAGCATTAGCAAACCTATTAACTCGAGTACAAAGGACTAGAAGTCAAGGGGAGTTACTGGAAGCTGCGCAGCACAGATGCCAAGGCACATAAGGAGCCTTATGCACCTCTCAGAGGAAACCAAGGAATTAATAACCAGATCTCAGTCCCTTTCCCACCCCACTCTGAGAGACTGACTGATCCAAATGCAAGCCCAGAGTCAGGCCAAAGCTTGAGCGGTGAGGAGAGTGGACCTGAATGTGTAAACTCTCCCTCAGTCATGTCCTCCAATCACATTTTTTTTGTGTAAGCCCGCCCTCAGTCATGTTCCCCAATCACATTCTTGGTGTAAGCCCACCCTCAGTCATATCCTCCAATCACATCTTTGGTGTAAGCCCACCCTCGTCATGTCCTCCAATCACATTCTTGGTGTAAGCCCTTCCTCGGCATTGTCCTCCAATCACATCCTTGGTGTAAGCCCGCCCTCGTCATGTCCTCCAATCACATTCTTGGTGTAAGCCCTTCCTCAGACATTGTCCTCTAATCACATTTTTGATAGCCTCCCTGCTGGCCTGTCACTGGTTATCAATGCAGGAAACACAAAGCAAAAGGAATCATGTGTCCATAATCCTGACGAAACTGCCTTACTTGGCCCGCTACTGTGTTTCCTTACCATAGCCATTGACGGCCCAACCTGGAGTCAGTCCAGCAGCTGGGTGGGTAATGGTAATTCTTCAAGTCCTACAAAAAAGATGAAATGGCCCAGTAGGCCAAGGTGCTCGCCACCACCGCTGACAACCTGAGTTCCATTCCAGGGCCCCCCCGTGGTGGAGAAGAGAACCAACTCCTACAAGTTGTCCCTGGACCTCTACGCGTGCCATAAAGGAAAACATGAAATGAAGAAAATTAGAGATCCATCTTACTTATAGATTTAAAAAATCTAAATCAACTGTTACCTAGCTAAAACTGCAATAGTTTTCTGTTTTTGCTTTCTGTCGCTGTGGGAAAACAGTCACCAAAAGCAACTTGAGGAGGAAAAGGTGTATTTCTGATTACAGTTTATGATGGGAAGTCAAGGCAGGAAGCCTGGAGCAGGAACTGAAGCAGGGGACGTGCTGCTGACTGACGTAATTTTTGTGACCTGCTCAGTTTCCTTTCTTACACATCCCAGGACCACCTGCCCAGGGTGGCACCACACACACAGTGAGCTGGGTCTGCTCACATCAGTCATTGGTCAAGAAAATGACCCAGAAACTTGTCTGCGGGACAATCTGAGGTTTCTTCGCTAGCTTGTGCCAGGTGACAAAAGTAATCATCACAAATGGGTATTAAAGAATTCCATCATGACCAGGAACTCCCTCTCCCGCAAGGGAATGGCTGCTAAGAAGTGTATCAATAGGGTTGGAGAGATGGCTCAGTGGTTAAGGTCACTAGTTACTCTTCTAGAGGAACTAGATTCGAATCCCAGCATCCACATGGTGGGTGGCTCACAACTGTCTGAAACTCCAGTTCCAAGGGATCCATTGTCCTCTTCCAGTCTCCGGGGATGCCACATGCACATGGTGCATAGACATACATGTAGACAAAGCACCCATAAACATAAAATAAAAATAAATAAGTGTATCAATAGATACCACCACATCAAGAAAACTCTTAATCTCTGCAGTAAAATTACATCTTCATGTAAAAATTATGATGAAATACAACAGAATTCCAGGGAGCTTTGCAAAGTTAAGGATCTACTACAATCTAAAACATGCCATGCTCAGTGGTGAAAGTATAAATCTGCAAGTGAGATTAAACACGGGGTCTAGCTGTCCTCCATGTCCTGTACTCGACGTGATCTTATTGAGACCCTTTGATTATATACACTTAGGTAGAGAGAATCGTCAAACCCCACCCAAGCTCCCGGAATTTGTCCCCACTGCAGAGAATGAATACAAGCGAATGTGAAGATATCGCTGTGGGGTGACTGACTTGTGAAGGGGCAAGAATTCGGAGCTGTCTTAATCTGAAAAGAACATTGAGGATCACGAGTTCGAGGCTACTCTGGGCTACATAGCAAGACCCTGTTTCAAATACAGGGAGGGGTGGCTGGAGAGATGGCTCAGTGGTTAAGAGCACTTGCTGCCCAATCATGAGGCTCAGATCTGGATCCCAGCACCTACATACCAGCAGATGCCTGTAACTCAGGTCTGAAAGGATGGAGACAGGAGCTCAGGGCTTGCTAGCCTTTTGGGTCTACCTGAGAAAGCACCAGCCTGGGGGTCAGGGAGAGACCTAGCTTCAAAGAAGTAAGTGGAGAGAGAGAGGGTATCCAGTGCCACACGTGCATAGGCATGCGCAGACACACATGCTCACACACACTTAGACACACACATAGAAATCAATCCTTTTAAAAGGCTCATTATAGTTGCTCTTGTTGCTGGCACTCTGCTAAGCTTCATCAGTAGACTGAGTTGGAGAGATTCAGGGCTAAGGCATAAGACATGTCCCTTCTCGGTTCTAGTAGTTCCACAGACTCTCCCTGCACTATTTCAAGGGGCTTCCCAAGTGCCAGGCTCTCAGAATGTTATTTTTTTTAATCGTATGTGTGGTTGTGTGTGTGGTATGTGTGTGTGGATTGTGTATGTGTGTTTGTTGTGTGGTTGGGTATGTAATGTGTGTGCATAGTATGTGTGTGTGTGGTTGTGTGTGTGTGGTGTCTGTGTGGTATATGTGTGCAGTGTATGGTTTTGTGTGTGTGGTTGTGTGTGTGTGTGTGTGATATGTGGTTGTGTCTGTGTGGTTTGTGTGTGTGTGTGGTGTGGTGTGGTTGAGTGTGTGGTGTCTGTGTGGTATATGTATGCAGTGTATGGTTCTGTGTGTGGTGTATGGTTGTGTGTGTGTGTGTGTGTGTGTGTGTAGTATATGTGTGTGAGTACAAGCAGAGGTCAGAACAGGAGACAGTCGTCTTTCTCTTTTCCTGCCCCCTTACTGCCTTGAGGTAGGGTCTCTTACTGACGGGGAAACTCACCATGTCCCATAGGCCGGCTGGCCTGCAAGCACTTGGATCTGCCTGTCCCCAGCCCTCAATTCTGGGGTTACAGGAATGCACAGCCATGCCCCACTTTCGACGTGGGTACTGGGGATTCAAACTCAGGGCCTGCAGCCTTGCAGGCTCACCCACTGAGCCATCTCCCTACCCCCTGAAGTGTTGATATTTTTGACAATTAAAAGCAGATTTGTTTCCAGTTACTAAACATACTCAACCTCACTAACAGTCTAAGAATGCAAATTAAATATTGATCTATATCTTTTTCTAGTGAAAATCTTAGATAATATGCTATTATTATATTGTATGGAAAATGGGTCTCAGGTGCCCGTGCATCTACTGGCATGTGCTGCTAGTTAGGTGTTCCTAACTCTACTATGTAAAAGCCAAATGCACAGTGTGGCTGATTCTTCATTTGTAAAGAACACGATTTTTAAGGGTGAGTCAATAACATTAATAGGAACAGTTTTACTTTTTTTTTTTTTTTTTTTTTTGGTTTTTCAAAACAGGGTTTCTCTGTGGCTTTGGAGCCTGTCCTGGAACTAGCTCTTGTAGACTAGGCTGACCTCGAACTCACAGAGATCTGCCTGCCTCTGCCTCCCGAGTGCTGGGATTAAAAGCATGCGCCACCACCATCCGGCCTCACTTTTATTTTCTTTAATTCATTTACATTCCAGCCCAATGGAAAGAGTGTCAAGGGGGAAAAGATGTGCGTGTTCTTATACAAACACATATATGAATTGTTGAAAATGCCTACATATTTGTTCATATTTACTAGCATATTGTAGAAAGATTTTCAAACAAGATAAATGCAGAGCTTTTGAATGGCAGCCCTGTGTCTACGGCACAGGAGGGAAAGGGTCAGGTTAGTAACTCATGCATGCTGCAGAAGACCACGCACCTGCTGGGGGCATCGAAGTAAATCTAGGAAATTATTTGCAGTCTGTGTTACTCACTGGAAAAAGCAAATGTTGCAATAACATGAGCACCGGATGCTATTTTCTACATTTAAGTCACTTTCTAAAAGGGGCTTCAGGAGAAGGGCAAGAGAAGGCAGTGGCTCATGCGAGATGGAAAGGGAAGGGAAGGTTACTAGGAGCAGGACATACAATGGAGAAGCAGTGCAGGGAGCTGGGTTTGCAGATGGCATCTGAGCTGAACTGGTACGTTTTTGTCATTATTCCTCAACGCTGTATTTAAATACCATTTATATTATATTAGACACTGCAGATTAAAAATAAATGATAGTTACTTTATTGAGATATGATCTGCAAATAAATTGCTGCATATATTTAATATTTGTTTGTATAAACCCATGTCTATAATACATGTACATACATCTGTTTGAGATATGTGTGTGTTTATAAAACTGTCACACCACTGAGCATAGCCTTGCCTCCCCAAAGTCCTTTCTGCCCCTTGTTGTGGGAAAATGCCTGAGATAATCAACTCATAAAGAGAAGGGTTTATTTTGACTTACGGCTTTGGCAGTTTTGGGTCCTGGTCACTTGGTCTGTTATCTTTTAGGTCAATACTCGGGCAGAAGATCATAGCAAGGAGGATGCCACATGGAAGCTCTCACCTCATGGCCAGGAAGCAAAAAGAGGAAGAAGCCAGGGTCCCAGTATCCCCTAGAAGGGCACACCCTAAGTGGTGCAACTTCCTCCAAGTAGACCCCGTTGCTCAAGAGTTCCACTGTCTTGTCAGATGTGACAGTGTATGTTTGCAGTTCCCAAGGGTGGAGAGACTCACAGATCTGAGGCCTTACCATAGTTTGAACCTAGTGGGGACCAGTGATTGGGCAATGATGACGTAGGCTTACGTCAACTGCTCTGTATCTGTTGGGGTTATTTCTATTCCGCACAATGTTCAGCAGGTCTTTCAAAACCTTCCTGTTTCTGGGGTTCCCTTCACTACCTCCTCACTCCCCGTGGCTGAGCTCACAGAGTATACTGAGCCCTGCCCTGGTCCTCTCTCCTCCTCTCACCTCATAGTAGTGTGTGCCACCTGGACCTCCCTCACCTCCCTCAGTAGTCTTCAGCTTCCTGTTGGGTGGTCCTGGGGGGAGCTAATGGGACACCCCTCACCTTGAGGGCTGGCTGGCCCTCTGCATGGCTTCCCACTAGCAGATGAAAATGGTCAGGATCCTCTCCTCTGTCAACTCCCTTTCTGTCGTGGAGTCCCCACCAGTCCTTCCCATCCCTTTTCTGCCATGCCTATCTTCTTGAAGGGGCTGGCTAGTTTTGCCAGCTCACCTATCTAATCTCTAGTTTGTATACCTACCTCCTAGTATCCGGCTTAAATCACAAGCCATTTCCGGAACCAGTTTGCACTGTTACCATGACTTTCCTTGGGCCGATTTCAGTGTTCCTGAAACTCTGCTCAGGGCACCTTCAACCTGTCCTTCCTCATATCCAAGCCCACTCCGCCGACCACCACAAACCTCTTCTGCTAGCCTGACCACACATCCTAGGTTGCCTGGGGACTCTGAATTGGTCTCTGTCTGCTTTCCCCACCTAGTTTCATGGAGCCCTATGCTGAGCACATGCCATCAGGCCTAGCCCAGGTTATGTTCTCCAAGGATGCCCACAGACTTGACCACGTTTAGAAATCTCATCTTCCAGTTGGGCGGTGGTGGCACCTGCCCTTAATCGCAGCACTCAGGAGGCAGAGGCAGGCAGATCTCTGTGAGTTCGAGGCCAATCTGGTCTACAAGGGCTAGTTTAGGACAGGCTCCAAAGTCACAGAGAAACTGTCTCGAAAATAAAAAAATAAAAAAAAAATAAAATAAGCCCCCACTGCTGGTGCAGAGCAGAGGCTACAAGTATCTGAATGCTCAGCCACAAGAGTCATCTGTCATGCTCTGTGAGGTCCCCACACTGCCACCCTACAAGGCTCAGGGGCCTTCCAAGAAGAGAGGGCAAAAGGACTTAGAGCCAGAGGTGGAGGGGGAGTCATAACTCTAGTCATGACCAGACCACTGTACATAAGAGCTCACAGAAGTTGTGGTTGGCTACTCAAGGCCAAGCCAGCCAATGGTCTGGTACGGCATGCAGGAGGAAGGGCTGGTAAGTGTCCAAAATCCTTTTGAATGCTCACCCTTTCATTCAGGGACTGTGCCCCGCTGCCTTCATCTCCTTGTAAGGGCTCTCTCAGCCCAAGGCCATGGCTTCTGCTCTCAGAGGACTTGTCTGGACTGTCGAGAGCTCCCTAGCTTCACACTGGGTCTACTGAAAATGCTTGCTTTCGATCCTCATGTCGTGACTCTGGGGTTGCCCGTGAGTATTGAGTCCGCCTGTCCTCTGAACTGAGGACGTTTTTCTTAAGGGTGGTTTCATCACCTCTCACCTTGAATTCATACCACAGTCGTTACCCACCACTTGCCTTTCTTAGACCATCCTTGGACTTTCTCCTCTTTCCTCCCCGCAGGAAGTGCTTACTGTGCGCTGCGCCGCCATTGTGTGAATACCTGACGTGCACCAAAAGCGGTAAAAGGACCTCAGAGACTTTCTGGTTTGGGTGCTGAGCGTCTCCGAAAAGGCTGCATCTGGGCCAGAGGGTGGGAATGAAGAATCTGGGCTGCTATTTTGAGACTGGGATGTGCCTTCAGCTTCTTGGAGAGACCCAGCAGAAAATGGGGCACATTCATCAGCGAGGCGAGGGGAGGCGCTAGAAAATGTCCCATTTCTTCTGGTCTTCTGCAGACAGACCATATAGTAAATTGTCTTCTTCTATTTCCGTATTCCTTCTCCATTTCCGACTCTACGTTCATCCCTCTCCATCCCTCGCGCCCAGGACACACACTTCAGGCATACTCTTCTTTTCTTTATCGCTCATGTGCACCTTCGCCTCCTCCTTCTTTTTTTTTTTTTTTTTTTTTTTTTTTTGTTTTTCAAGACAAGGTTTCTCTATGTAGCTTTGGTGCCTGGAACTAGCTCTTGTAGACCAGGCTGACCTAGAATTTACAGAGATCCCCCTGCCTCTGCCTCCCGAGTGCTGGGATTAAAGGCACGCGGGCCATCATTGCCTGACTTTGCCTCCATTCTTAAGCACGAGCTTAATTCCCGCCCCCGCCCCCGCCCTCTCCCAGCCGCTCAGAAAAAACAAACAACGAACTGGAGCGTTGGGTAGGAGTGTGCCTGGGGAAACTGGACCAAGTAGACCACAAGAGTCCTGGCTTCCCAGGGGAGCCTGCCAAGGAAGCTAAGCCCTTGGGACTCCGGGGCTTTGTCAGTCTCAGGGAAGTCTGAGGCACACGCCAGGGCTGCCGTTGCTCCTCCGGAGTCCAGGAAAACCAAGCAGGGAAACAAAACAGATCATGAGGTCAGTGTGGGCCTCCTTCTCCCAACACCGCTGTCTGCTTCTGACAATGCTCTTTCTTGAGGCTGTGGGCGATGACCTACTCTTTGACCCTGACTGGGGCTTTGAGTCCTATGAAATCACAGTTCCCAAAGAGCTAAGCTCTAGGAAAGGGGAGCAGGGTGGGAACAGTTCTTTGTCGTACCTCTTACAGATACAGGGCAAAAAACATACCATTCACCTGCGGCCCAAGAAGTTACTGTTGCCGAGACATCTGCCTGTTATCTCCTTCACTCAGGAGGACAGTCTAATGGAGGATTACCCACACGTACCAAACGAGTGCAATTACGTGGGCTTCGTGGAAGGCTTTCAGGAATCTGACGCTACCCTGAGTACATGCATGGGAGGTCTGCGAGGCATCTTGAACATAGACTTCAATTACTACCAAATCGAGCCCCTCAGGGCCTCTTCCACGTTTGAACACGTTGTGTATGCCCTAAAAACAGACGAATTTAGCAATCAGACCTGTGGTGTGGTTGATGAAGAAACAGATGGGCAAACCACCCAGCAAGAGGCTAGGATAAGTAGCTTTCATAAATCCTATAAGCACCAAAAGTACTTGGAATTGGTCATGGTCTTTGATTGGACTAGATTTATGCATTTAGGCGGAAATTTTACTAAAGTCGTTGAAGATGCTATTCTTCTAACTGCAATTATGGACACCTACTTTCAGGATGTCGGGTTGCGGATCTGTCTAAAAGGACTTGAAGTTTGGTCCGGTGGTGACAGAATAAATACTCTCTTTCCCACTTTAGCTGAAATTTTAGGTCAGTTTATACTGTACAAAAGAGTGGTATTGCATCGTGTCCTTCCCGCGGACTGGTCACATTTATATCTTGGAAGAAGTCTTCCGGATGCTGTCGCATGGTCCTGGGGGCGAGCATGTGAGCTGAACCATGCCGGGTCCGTAAGTAGCTTCGTTGGTATGAATATCCTCAGGTCTGCTACTTGGACCGCTCATGAGGTGGGCCACTGTGTGGGTATGGAGCACGATGTGAAGTATTGCCAATGCAGAGGTAGGACGAGCTGCATCATGGGTACAGGACGCACAGGGTTCAGTAATTGTAGTTACGATCAGTATTTCGTACATGCATCCTATAAAATGTCATATTGTCTATCTGACATCCCAGGACGAAGTTATGTGATTAAGAGATGTGGCAACAAGATTGTTGAAGGTGCAGAGGAATGTGACTGTGGTTCCAAAGAAGAATGCCAAAAAGACCCGTGCTGTGGGCGAGACTGCAAATGGAAGGAAGGCGTCAACTGTTCCACCGGGCTTTGTTGTCACAAATGTAACTTTCTCCCATCAGGATATGTGTGTAGGCCGGAAGAAAATGAATGTGACCTTGCCGAGTACTGTGACGGGCTCTCAGGTTTATGTCCGGAGGATACTTACAAGCAAGATGGAACTCCCTGTAAATATGGAGGAGTTTGTTTCAGTAAGAACTGCAGATCCAGGTACATGCAGTGCCAGGGTATTTTTGGACCGACTGCCAGGGAGGCTCCTTACCAATGTTATGAAGTAGTTAATACAATGGGCGATCAGTATGGTAACTGTGGCATTAATATTAGTCAATATAATAGGTGCACTCGGGACAACGCAGTCTGTGGCAGGCTACAGTGTATCAACGTTAGAGCCCTCCCCAGTTTGCCAGATCACTCTACTCTATTGATCACCCATATGAAGGCAGACAATCTCATATGCTGGGGCACAGGCTACCATGGAGAATTAATAGCCCATGGGATACCTGACATAGGTGTGATTAATGATGGCACCGCCTGTGGCCATAAGAAGGTGTGCATTAAGGGAAAGTGTGTTAACTCTGCCACCATCATGTTTGACTGCTTGCCTAGCAAGTGCAATAGCCGAGGTGTTTGCAACAATAAAAGGAACTGCCACTGCAAGTATGGCTGGGAGCCCCCGTTCTGTGAAGAGGTAGGACTTGGCGGGAGCATTGACAGTGGACCCCCTGGACCAATGGCAGAGGAAATGCCCGCATCGTTTCAAGCTGTGTATATCATGATGCTGCGTATTATTTTCTTCGTCATCTCAGTGATCGTTGTGTACCTTAGGCAGCTGATTAAAAAATGGGTTTATGACCGCCAGCAGAAAGAAACAGTCGAAGAAGCAAAGGATGTCGGGTCAGAAATGTAACCAGGCAAGCCTGTCATCTGGTACATTTGGTTCTCTAACAAGCGTATCATTTATTCACACATTGTTCATTCTCTTCCCAGAATGATTTTATGCAAATTTCCCCTGAGTTTAAAATCAACAAAAATAAATGATATTCTTGTGCGGAAACAAATCAGTGCATTTTTTCCCCCTTAGGATTCATTTTCCCTTCAGTTCGGGATCAAGCGTTAGATTACCTGGAAAGACTCCTAATGGCCTATCTGAATGTAGTTCATGTCAGGGTTCAGGGTATAGTCCTGTCTTAACATCCCTGGGGAAGTGAGCTCAACTCTCCCCTGTGTGTCTTTCAGCTTCTTCGGGGCTAGGCATCTACACCTACACATATGCACCTGCTACGTGTACCTGTGCACCTGCTGCATGCACCTGTACACCTGATACATGCAACTGTGCACCTACTACATGTACCGCACACCTGATACATGCACCTGTGTACCTGTTGCATGCACCTGTGTCCTGATGCATGCACCTGTGCACCTGCTGTATGATACATGGAAATAGCACATTTTATAAATGAAACAAACAAACACGTGTGACAAAGGTTGATTCCTTCAGTGAGACTTTCTGTCAAGTCTCTCTGGTGGATACAGCTCTGTCTATTGCCATGTGGTTTCTGACTTGGTGTTTGAGGTGAGCTCCAATGGGCCCCACTATCCTGAACTGTAATGACACCTGCATTCTGTACTGGCTATAGAAGATGACAGCCCTTAACAGTATTGGTAGCATGGCCATTAACAAAATTTAATGTTTGCTGCATGTATTTTTTGGTAGTGTTTGTCAATTTGACCCAAGCTAAAATCTTCTGTGACAAGGGAAAGAACCTCAACTGAGACAATGGCTCCCTAAGATTGAGCTGCAGGCAAGTCTGTGGAGCATTTTCTTGATTCATAGTTGTTGTGGAGGACCCAGCCCATTGTGGGTGGTACCAACCCAGGGCAGGTGGCATAAAAAGCAAACTGAACAAGTCATGAGGAGGAAGCCAGTAAGCAGCACCTTCCATGGCCTCTGCTTCAGCTCCTGCCTCCAGGATCCTATGTAATCGATGTTTCTCTCCCACCTACCAGTTCCCAAATAACCATTCTGAGGCTTAATATTAATTATAAATGTCTGGCTGGTGGCTTAGGTTTATTGCTAGCTAGCTCTTACATTTAAATTAACCCATTTCTATTAATCTGTGTATCACCACATGGCCTATGGCTCACCACTGGTGCTCTGGCATGTTGCTCCTTGGGTGGCTGCTGGCACCTTCTTCCCCCTCCTCATCTGAGTCCTCAGATTGATTGTTCCACCTAGCGCTATTCTGCCTAGCTATTGGTCAAAAGGCTTTTATTATTAACCAATGGGAGCAACATATATTCACAGAGTACAGAAAGACATCCCATGTCATTCCTGCCTTGAGTTCCTGCTGCCTTCCTTTCATGATGGACTGACTGTAAAGTGTAAGCTGAAATAAACCCTTTCCTTCCCAAGTTGCTTTTGGTCATGGTGTTTTCTCACAGCAATAGAAAGTCAACTAGGACAATATGTTTGCTTTCACCGGAAGGCCTTTTTGAGTGGCCCTAGGTCTGGAGAAAGTGAAGAATGCCTTTTAGCCCCAGCATCCTTCAGTGCTCTGCCTGTAAATCTCCCCCTGTGTACAGGGTTGGCATGGGGGGGGGGAAAGGAAAGCTGACTTCCCACAGGAGTCATTGCCACTTCGATGTCCAGCGAGAAGTCATCCCTCCTCCATACTTGCAGCATCCCAAGTTGTTGCATCCTGTTCAAGGCTGGGTCTTCCTGCTGTCCTGTTGAGGCAGCTCTATAGCTTCCTGTACCGTGTCCAGTTTGCTGGGCCTTAGCCACGAAGTCTAATCAAAGGCAAAAAAGCAGGGCAGACACAGCGGAGGTTCATCTCTAGTCTGTCTAGACTACTTTGGGTTTGTTTTCACTGAGAGAAAAAAAATGTAAATAACTTTGGTTTTGTGATGATCATAATTCTAAACATTTATTAAGCTTGGCCGGCCATGCAATGTCCTAAGATATAAGGACACTGAGTCACGGCGGAGCACTAACGGTGGATAGCATACTGAGAACTCACTTCGTGCCAAAAGCGGGCTGAAGACTTTCATGTGTGCTATTGTGTATACTGTTAAAAAGAACCCTGCTCTAAGTGTTTTATTTTTAGGTTTTTAAATTTTATATGTACATGAGTGTTTGCTTTAATGTATATATGTATACTGTATGCATGCTTTGGTACCCGGAAGAGGACATTGGATGCCCTGTTGCTGGGGTTATGTATTAGTTATGAATCAAACCACGATCCTTACCTGCCGAGTCACTTCTTAGCCCTGGTGCTTATTGTTCAATAAGAACCAAGTCACAGCAATGTTAAAGGCCCTACATAGGCTTCTACAGTAAGAAAGACAACATTACTTGAGGGAAAAAATTTGAATAATAATAAAGATCAAGTTTAAAGACAATGACTTATTGAGAAATCTTCAAGTTATTAGTACATAGGAAATGAGTTTTTAATGTTTCAGTGAATATATTATATAAAAATATTATATTATTTTATTATATCTTATTTGTAAATATTTTATAACATATAGAGCATATATAATATTTCCCATTTTCGCCAATTTGGTGGTGATTACTATTTAGTGGTAGTACATTTCATTTTGTGCCGATGTTCTAGATAATTCTTCTTGTTTTGAGGCAGGGTCTCACTATGTTGCCCCACCCCCACCCTGCATTGGCCAGGGACTCTTTTTACTCTTTATGTAGACCAGGCTGGCCTCAAACTCACAGCAATCTGCCTGCCTTAGTCTTCTGGCTGTTGGGACCAAAGACATGCCAAGCCACGCCTAGCAAGACTCTCTTCATCTTCCAAAGCTAATACCGCAGATCCATTAAAACACACCCCATTCTTTCTTCCCCATCTCCTCATAGTCTGCTTTCTGTCTGTATGAATTAGTAAGCCTAATCCCTTCTAGAAACACGTCCATGTGGTGTTTTTGCCTTTTTGTGACTGGCTTCTCTTAACACAGTGTCTTCAAATTCAGTCTGTACCATAGTGTGTTGTTAAGAGAAAGAGACTGAAATGTTCTACATCTAATTACAAAGGCTGAAGGATGGTGGGGGGGGGGAACTAACCAGTTCACAGCGACAAGCCCCAGCAGCAGACCATTCTACATTTTTGTCTGCATGATAAGACCATGACTCAGACCCTCCCACATGATTGACTGACAGGTGCTCCTGCATCCTGTTACAATCTTAACCAAGCCAGATCAACAAAACTGCCCTGTCCCCAACTTCTCTGATTTTTTTTCCCCTTTGGTCCTCCTGGCCTTCCTATCTATAGTCAACATAGCTCTCATGGAAATGGCTTATGGTTTCCTTCTCCAAACATCTGCTATTAAAGTGTTCTTGTCTTACAGGCATGAAAGGCGTTTTTCCGATGGCTATTCAGCTCAGTTGTTGGAAGTCACAGAAATACACCCCAGGCCCTGGTTCATTTCTGGCTATCATCAGTCGTGGCTCATCAAAGCCTTTTTACTTCGGAGATCACTCAGTCTCAACAGTTTTGATTCAACTGTGTGTCAGAATCTCCCTCCTAAAGACTAGATAATATCTCAATGTGCCTATATACTATATTTTCTTTTTTAAAAAATTGGCCCTCAGCTGTGTTTTAAAGTTTTTTAAATTTAAAGTCATATTTTTTTGAAAATTTTATACCCATACACAAGTACTATATTTGCATGGTATCTGCAGCTCCCTCTTGCCTCTCCAACTCATCTGCATTTTTCAACGTTCTCTCCAATCCATAGCCCCTGAGTTAAGCAGACTGAGTTCACTTAGCATTGCCCATATATACTTGTGGTAGGGCTGACCACTTAGGAATGGATAGCCTATCAGGGGCTCAACCCATCCCTAGAGAAGACCAATTCTCTTCTTGCAGCTGCCGTTGATTGCCTGTAGCTCTTCAGGATGCCCCCCTTCGCTTTGGCAAGTCAGCTGGTGGTGCCATTGTGATTGTGTCGTTAAGATCTGTGTTTCCTCTCACCGTTCAACTCAAGTTGTTTCTACCTTGATTCTCTTCTGAGTAATTACTAAAAACCTTGGCACAGAAATATTTTTCTCTGTTCATTTTCGGTTCTTTGGGGCATATGTTTGAAAGTGGAATTGTTAGGTATTATGGTAATTATATTTTTAAATATTATTTTTTTTTGGCTGCCGTACTGTTCTTGAAACATGTGGGTAA